TTTTTTTGCTGGTTTATTAATAACTTCGCTCTGCAATTAGCGGCTCGTGGATTGGTGAAGTCACTTTTATCAGTTGATATTTGTTCGTTCAGGCATGTTACGATTCGGTGGATCCCTCCAGTCCGTTCGCTGTTTGGCCACCGCCACGGCAGCGGCCGTCAAGAAGCCGAGTACTAGTACTGGACCGAATATTGTACTTGTTGATGCTGTTAGGTACATTTTTTGAGAAGAGTTCCGGTCTCAGTCATGTTTTCAGAAATTCTATTCAGGACTCCTTTCGTTATGTCCGGTACAGTATTCAAGGACCTCTGGGCGGTAGACCTGCAAAGAGAAGCTTTGAAAGGTTAGTAGATGTTTTGGATCTCCTGTCTGTATACCAAATGTTCTAAAAGTGGATCTCAGAAAAGGAAACTATGTTTTCCACATCAAATGATATTAAAAATTACAGGAGTCTTTTTCAACGCAGTTGGGAACCGGTTCCTGCGTAGTTCTAGTGTCCTAATATAGTCCCAATAGGCTCTTTTGTATGCGCTGCGAGATTTTTCGTCCTCACCATCAAAAATCGTCTCACGTTTTTTGCTGACTAGCCAGGATTCCAACTCCAGGAAGTTGCTTTCCTGTAGTTGAAATCCTGCTCTATCAGGATTCCAGCCTAAACAATATATTTGATGCAAGTTTGACAAAAAAAATTGCTCAGACACTTAGTTTACCACCTGAGGAGTGTTATGCAGCGATCCATGTTTACGCAATCTGTTTGACGCTTTTTCCTTGATTCCTTGACGATATTGCTGAATATAATTGAAACTAAAATCCATTCTCAAAATTTTCGTTTCTCTTCTGCCGATTTTTTTGAAAATTTCGTTTCAGCACTGATAGCTCGCACTCAAATTCCTTACAAGGATATCGATCACATAATTTGTGGAACTGTGATTCAAGAGTGCAAAACAAGCAATGTTGCCAGAGAAGCTGCACTACAAGCCGGGATTCCTGACAAGGTTGTATTCTATTCTGTAGAGAGTCTATGAGTAGCTATGATTCAAGACATTAGCATGTCTCACTTCAAAGGAGCATTTGATAATACTGAAAGTATGTGCTCGATTTTTCAGATTCCTGCCCATACCGTTACATTAGCCTGTATTTCTTCGAACGTAGCGATGACGACTGGCATGGGTATGTTGGCAACTGGAAATGCCAAGGCAATCATTGCTGGTGGTGTGGAGCTCCTCTCAGATGTGCCCATCAGATACAATAGGAAGGTAACAAATTTTTCTCTTAAATATATACAATAGAAGAAATGTATGAGGGGATCTACTGAGATAAAAGTAAGGTTAGCAAAAGAAACGGATAAGCAATAAGTTGGCAAAGTCCAGTAGCTATGAATTGGGAATGACGACTATATGCGCTTATATAGTAGGATAGCAGTAGTATTGGTTGATGGTGGACGGTGAATTGTTTCGCAATGAAGTAGACAACTGGAGAAATTTGAAGGTTCTTTTGGACTAGTTTGTCTATGTATGCTTTTCCAATTGCGTATGAATATTGTGTTTTGTTTAAGGCTAGGAAAGCTATGTTAGCCATACAAAAGGCGAAGGCTCCAGTCGATAAACTGAAACTTGGTGAGTTTTTTTCCTAATGAAAAGTGTCAATTCATAGCATATTGTTTCTGAAGTTGTTTATTTCTTTAAGGAGGAGATATTCTAAAAAACATGTTCGCGCCTGAATTACCGGCTGTAGCTGAATTTTCTACCGGGGAAACTATGGGACATAGTGGAGATCGTCTTGCTGCTGCATTCAATGTTTCA